TTTTTTTTTTCCAAATTTGTTGGCTAGATTCATGCATGATCTTGATTGAATAATTAAAAAAGATCCATTGTCTCTTAAAAGTTAAAAAGGGATGTACAATGACCTGCTAACGAATTACAAACGATTCTATAGGGTCATTTGTTTGAAAATAGTTTTTTGTCGGCTAATAGGATACTGCTGAACTAACTGCTAACTGGCCATCGGGCAGTAGAATATAATAAGTTTGGTCAGCCAGTGGAAGGTAAATGAGCTATTATCAACGGCAGAAATGTTTTTCATCGCGCTGTGCCAAAAAGTAACTTTTTCGGCCCGCGAAGCGTACCTAAAACGTCCCTTTTCTACACATTGTGATGAAAAATATCGTTCGATACTCGTGGGAAAAGTGTTTTTTGGCTCGTGGGAAGTTTATAGCACGAGCCGAAGGCGAGTGAAAAAACTCACACGAGAAAACTCTTTTCCGCACTCGTAACGAAATATACTATTGCACGGTGCATTTAGAAATGACGGCAAGCTTTTCGATGGTAATCGTCAATTTAGGGAGAATTTTTTGCGCCCACTCGGAGGCGCGACAAGTGTAAAAATGAAAAATTTTCTTTTTTACGTGGATCAAGGGTCAGACCTTGAATTTTTTCAGGGGGAAAGTCGACTTTCGTCACAATCGAATTTTTTCGCCGAGTGAAAGTTGGTTCCGACTATTCAAGCGACGGGCTATCCAGAACTCCCAAAAGTATTCGGAAAAAGTAAAAAACAAAAAAATTTTTTTTTCACCCAAGACCAAAAAAAAAGTGTCCCAGGTAAAAAAAAATCCAGTGTCAAATCCAAGGATTTGGAAAATACAATGAATTATCAATTTTAATTAATCTGCATGTTCTTCTTTTATTTTTTCAAGAATTAAATTTTACAATTCCTTATAGTACAATTTCTTTAGATAGAACCATGACAAACGATCAAATTTTTTTTCACCTCGTTGAATACGAATTTTTCTCAGCAACGACGCATTTTTCAAAAAAAAAAATGTCGAAGTATTTTTCTCCAAAACCAATCGTATCCAGAATAAACCTCAAATTTCACTTTGAAGTCTGTAAAAACCTTTCAAAATGTAAAAAAATTGAATTTTCCTCTGTCAATCCTGAATTATTCCCATCAAAAAACTGTCGTACCCCTTCCCCCACTTCTTCACTGAATTAATAATAATTAACCTAAATGGATAAATATTGAATCAGTCTCCTCTGCATCATCACTATTTATCTCTCGACACTCTCCAACAGTATTATGTTGCACCCCAGGAGTCCCTTGCCCGCCCAGGGCTTCGGCACAAGTGTCAAAACTGTGTAATCGCTCCTGCGTTTGACTTTAACAATGACAGGTTTGTTGAGGCTGTGAGCCACAAGATCCCCGATGTCCTTGAGGGATCTGAAGTTTTGGGAGTTGACGGATCCAAATTCGGTGATGAGATCGTTGACACACAGTCCCTAGTCCCCAAAAACAAAAATAAAAGCGTCACACGTCACGATAAGACAAAAACAAAGAAGTTGCATTCAATTTTTTAGTGAAAAAATCAATGAATGGGGAGAAATTACAGCTTGTTCAGCTGGCGATCCCTCCGACACGAGATTAACCCTGACGAAGGGTTCCCCAGGTGACGAGGTGTCCTGAACAGAAGCCACAGGTGCAGAACGAGGGGATGAGGAGGCTGATGATTCCGGTAGGCATTCCCTCCCCACTGAATGCGCCTCGATTAGTCCTGCCTCAATCCTCTTCATCAAGGCTTTATGATCATTCTGAAGACCTGGGGGAACGTTAATTCATGTAGATTCTTTTCTATTTTGCTCAGGCTGTTTGTCTATTCCACCGAAGTGATGATAAAAACAACAGAATATGGAGTGCATTGAGTTTATGCTTGAAACAATTCAGCAGAAAGTAAAAGCTGTTCAGGAAATTGATAAAAATTTGATAAATTATAATGAAAAAAATTATATGATGTAACAGGAGTAGATATTTAATTTTGAAATGGAGGACGAGGGGGAAAATGGGATTATTCTATAATTTCTCATCCTCCTTCTTATTTTTCTCATTTTTTAAAATGATAATAAAAATGATTTCATAGTTAAAAATTATAAAATCATAGAAACGATTATTTTTATTTTCAAAGAAGCAAAATTGTTGGCAGCGATGTTTTTTTTGATGATTTTGGGAACAAGAAAATCATAAAAACAGAATTTTTAAAATCATTCTTCACTTTCATAAAAATGAAAAGAAAAAAAATCATTTTTATGATTTTATAATTAAAAATTATACGATCATAAATTATTTAAAATGAGAGGAGTTTAGGAGAATAAAATGCAACAGACAAGCAGGCCTGAAAGAATATTGCTGGCTCTAATAATTGAATTTCATTGTTTACTAACAGATTATGTTGGCTCGAGCGTGTCTTACTTGGTAGACATCAATGTCAGCTCTCGGGTAGCCCTCAGAGTCCACCAGGGCCTCCGTCATCCCCACATGGTTCTGAAATTCCATCAAACATTTGTCATTCGTCATGCAGTGCATGCAGATGGCACATTCTCGTGAATCACTCACCTTGTCCAAGATGCCCTTCAACTCCGCCAATTGGGCCTCTATTTTGTCCTTCTCCCTCATCAGATTCAGTACTTTCGTTTTAGCTTCTTCCAGCTCCATGTCGACTACCATTTTTTGAGAATTTTTTGCGCGATGATTTTTCTCCGTTCTGTTTTTATTATTCAACGTGAAGTTAACGCTGGGATCATCGTCACGCATGCGCGACGCCAGACGCAGTAGTCCGCTCAAAACAATGGCCCGTAGATGTTCGAGCTCCCGACGAAAATGTTAAAATCCTCGAAAAATCCCTGATTCCGGTGGTAAGAACCTTGACAACATCCTCTCCCTCGAGATGAACCTCATCTCCATAATCGAAACGATCAATTAAATGATTTTAGTTAAAAATTCTGCGAAAATCGTCAAGTTAAAATTTTTTGGACGAAAAATCGCCATTTTTCAATGACAAATTGAGAGAAAAAGAAGGGAAATTGCTGTCAGCGATGTTTTGTCTGTTGACAAACGTATTCCAAGATTTAATCCTGCAAAAGTAAATAAATTCGAAAATAGTGGGTTGCCATGAGTCGGTCTGCTCATGCGCAGAGTGGAGCGGAGGGGGAACCAGGTATCCCGCCAAATCAGTCGCCATATTGCAATGGCCCACCGACGTTCGAGCTCCCGAAAAAAATGTTAAAATCCTCGAAAAATCCCTGATTCCGGTGGTAAGAACCTTGATATCATCCTCTTCCTCGAGATGAATCTCATCTCCTTCATCGAAACGATCAATTAAATGATTGTAGTTGAAAATTCTGCTAAAATCGTCAAGTCAAAAATTTTTACACGAACAAATCGCCATTTTTTAACGACAAATTGAGAAAAAAAAGAAGGAAAATTGCGCCCAGCGATGTTTTGTCTAAAAAACGATAGTTTTTAAAAATAATAAAATAAAAACCGATGGTTTTTTTAAAATTCTGCGAAAATCGTCAATTCAAGAATTTTCTAACCAACAAATTGCCATTTTCCAATGAACAATTGACTTAAAAAGAAGGAAAATTGTTGGCAGCGATGTTTTTTCTGTTGACAAATATAATTTTAATCCTGCAAAAGTAAATAAATTCGAAACTAGCGGGTTACCATGAGTCGGTCTGTTCATGCGCAGAGTGGAGTGGAGGGGGAACACGGTATCCCGCCAAATCAGTCGCCATATTGCAATGGCCCACCGACGTTCGAGCTCCCGAAAAAAATGTTAAAATCCTCAAAAAATCCCTGATTCCGGTGGTAAGAACCTTAACAACCTCCTCTTTCTCAAGATAAACCGCATCTCCATGATCGAAACGATCAATTAAATGTTTTTATTTAACAATTCCGCCAAAATCGTCAAGTCAAAAATTTTCCAACAAACAAATCGCCATTTTTCAATGACAAATTGAGAAAAAAAGAAGGAATATTACGCCAATCGATATTTTGTCTAAACCATGATGGTGTTTACAATTGACAAAATGAAAAACGATGGTTTTTCTACAAAAATCCTGCAAAAATCGTCAATTAAGGAATTTTCTGATCAACAAATCGCCGTTTTTCAACGAAAAATTGACATAAAAAAGGAGGGAATTTCGTCAGCGATTTTTCGTCTGCTGACAATCATGAAATCTATGATTTTACTCCTGCAAAAGCGAATAAGTACATCCTCGAACATCTCACTGTGCTCATGCGCAGAGAGGCGCAAGGGGGACCAAAGGAATTCCGCCAAAACAGACGCCCTGTTGGATTCGAGGCACTGCGAGAGAATGGGGGCATGGCAGAGGTCGGAGTGACGCACCAACACTGTGAAATCGTGAACGTCGAGAGCAGTGGATGGTGGCGGGCGCCAGAAGGGGATGCCCTCGCCGGTGCCGGGTTTGAAAGTTAACAGAACAATAACAAAAGGATTTTTTGGAACATTCTGTTGTAGTTTAACAGAGTGATGAGGAGTAAGTGATTTTGGACAATTTGTGCATTTCATTGGAACAAAGGATTAAAAATGTCAACAGAACATTAACGAAGAGTTGTTTTGGAAGGTTTCTGACGCGTAGTGAGTGATTTTGGACAAATTTGTGCATTTTATTGGGACAAAGGATTAAAAACGTCAACAGGAGATTAACGAAGAGTTGTTTTGGAAGGTTTCTGACGTGTTGTGAGTGATTTTGGACAAATCGTGAATTTTTTTATTGAGACAAAAGATTGAAAATCTCAACAGAACAATGACAAAGGGATTATTTGGACAATTTCCTGGTGGTTTAATAGAGTACCGAAGGTTTTTGTTGATTCGTGAGTGTTTTTCCTCAATTTTGCGACGTTTTTATTGAGGTAGAGGATTGAAAACGTCAATAGAACCGTAACAAAGGGATTATTTGGAGAATTCCCTGGTGGTTTAATACAGTAACGAAGGTTTTTCCTGATTTGTGAGTAACTTTGGCCAAATATCAGAAATTTTATTGAGAGAAAGCGTTGAAAAATGGCGATCGAGAGTTGTTTGTTGACGAAAAGTCATTTCTTATGTCATCGAAGTGCCTCTATTCGTTGAATCCAAAATGTGTGCAGTGTCAGTGTATAAAAGTGATTCTCGTAATAATTTCTCCATAAAAAATGAAAATTAAGATCGTGTTTTTTTTCGTTTGATATTTCGTTCACTTCAAATAATTATGAAAATTTATTATTCACCAAATTCAGTGTTTCAGTGTTAAAAATTCAATGTTCATGTTGAAGTGCTCAGTAATTGCATTCATTGCTTCTTAATTAAAAATCATTTCATCGTTCAGTGAATGTGACAATCTAGTTAATGAGTGTAAGTGCATCCAACACAAAAAGATCAACAATTGAGAATCGCTTAACACACCCCACGGATTATCAACTGCAATTAAGCTGGGCCGTAGGTGAAAACGGAGCTGTTGTTTTCATCCAACGCCGGTGAGTCGTTCCACCAATTAATTTCTCTATTTTCATCTGTACGAAAAACCTCAGGAACAATTTGATGATCCTCCAACACAAAAATGAGGTTTTTTTTCTCTCTAAACAATTATCAACCTGAAATTAATCTCATTACTATCATCTGTCCACCGCGTGAAGTGGAGACTACTATGTGTTTTAAAAGTCGTGGGTTATTGGAGTGAGACTTTTCATACGTTGATGATCAATTATATAGATATGAAAACGAATGAGTGCAAAAAAAAATTTTTTTTATTGTTCGTTGGCCCGAAAACGCTTAAAATGCCAAGACAGCCCAGGGCCTCCAATTTTCGAGCTACTAAGAATTTTTTTTTTTCAAGATTCTCGGAAAAATATGTGGAATAACAATTACGAGCTAGTGTTTTTTTAATTCGCCTCTTACATAGCTAAATTTGCTTTTTTGTATTTTTTTACACAAATAGTGAATTTTTTTTATATGAAAAAAAACGAAATCAGCTTTTTAGGAGTCGAATTAAAAAAAACTGGCTCGTAATTGTTGTTCCCCACATTTTTCCGAAAATTTTGAAGAAAAAAAATCTTTTGCAGCTCAAAAATTGGAGGCCCTGGACTGTTTTTAGTATTTTAAGCGTATTCAGGGAAACGAACAATAAAAATTGTTTTTTTGCACTAATTATTCGTTTTCAGATCTATATAATGGATCTTCAACGTATGAAAAGTCTCACGCCAATAACCCACGACTTTTAAAACCCCTTTGCTTTTATATGAATCTTTAGAATTGTGTTTTCTCCTGTAATTATTATTTTTTATTCATTAAACTACTTCATTGACTCAACAATACGATAATCGAGTCGATAAAGTAATTTCCTAGATAGAAATTGATAATTGCAGGAGAAAACACAATTTTAAGATTTGATCTAGACAAAGGGGTTCCGTCTCCCCTTAAACGCAGGGGTCAACCCTCGGTCATTTTTAAATTCCCAAAAATCCCGCGAGAAGGAACAGCTGTTCCACCATTCCCAAGCAACTTCAGACGACTATCAACTATAAATACACTAGGTTAAGTGATAATCACCGAGTGTTGCTCCACAATATTCTATTAACCAACAACCCCAACCGGTTGTCCACCCTCACTCGTCAATTAAAAAGGCAATGAGTCTCCTAAGACTGTCCCGCCGTCTCCTGAAGTGTCAAAGCCCTCTGCTGGGCCTCCGGCCCCCGGAGGAGTGTCTCTCCCTGGGGAGAGTGTACCACCAGGCCTCCTTGGAGCACAGACCCCGCAAGTACCAGCAGAACAATGAGGAGGAGAAAATAGACGCAATAGGCTGGATGCTGATCATAATCCCCATAGGGACCTTCGCCCTGGGGACGTGGCAGGTCCAGAGGAGGCAGTGGAAGCTCCAGCTCCTCAAGGATCTCTACGAGAAAGTGTCGTCAGAGCCCATTCCCTTCCCCGAGGATCCCCAGGAGTTGGCGAAGATGGAGTATCGCCCGGTGAGAGTCAAAGGGGAATTTTTGTACGACAAGGAGATCAGGATGGGCCCCAAGAGCCTCATTATGGACGGCATGGCTGTTGGTGAGAAGTCGGGGGGACTCATGAGCACGACGGGCTCCACTGGGTACTGGATCGTCACTCCTTTCAAACTTTACGATCGTGATTTAACGATTTTAATTAATCGGGGCTGGGTGAAGGCGAGGAAGGGAAAAATACCGGAGAGGGAGCTGGGGCATGTGCCGGGGGTTGTCGAGCTCACGGGGATCGTTCGACTCAACGAGGAGAGGCCGGTGTTCATGCCCAAGAACACCCCGAATGCTGGACTGTTCGTCTATCGGGATGTCTATTCCATGGCTGAGCTCACGGATTCAGCTCCTATTTTCTTGGACTTGGTCGCACGCGATGGAACCCCTGGGGGCCCCATCGCCGGACAAACTAGGATTTCTATGAGGAATGAACACATGAGTTATATTATCACGTGGTACACACTGTCTGCGCTTACTGCGTTCATGTGGTATAGGCTGTATATTCTCAAGTTACCTTTATGGTGAATAAAGTAGTGTTCGTGTTGGGGGTATTTAAATTGTGGGCGTTATGTTCAATTCTGAGTGGTGGGAGAAATGGAGTTTAAGCATTAATTTGTTGGGATTGGCAGAGGGACATTGCACGATTTTTATTTTTATTTTTGAGGCATTTTTTCGAGGTTTAAAGTGAGACCTGATAGTTTCGAATTGTAACGTTTAGTCGTGAGATATTGATGATTTCATATGGTTCATTTTAGCAGAACTTTCCTTGGTAATAGGTTTTTATTTATTCTGCGAAGAGACATTTTCAAAGTTTTTTTATTAATTAATTATAATTAATTTATTATTTCAATTAACAAAATAAAAAACTCTCAAAGTCGTCTCATGATTAAATCTTCATCAAGAACTAAAAATTCATTTTATTGTTACGACAGTTGAACTTTTTATTTAAATGAAGTCAACAATTACATTCAATTCTGAGTGGTGGGTGAAACAAACTTTTTTTAATCAATTACTCGAAATTAACAATACAAAAAATTACTCGAGATTGGCAGCGTGAAATTGGCCGATTTTTTTTTCATTTTAAAGGTATTTTTTCGAGATTTAAAATAAGATCTGATCCCTTCAAATTGTACCATTTAGTCAAAAGATATTGATAATTTAATATGGCCCATTTTACCTCCACTTCCCCTGATTCAACTTTTTAATTCGTTCTATCACGTCATTTTTAGTCGAAATAAATTCTTCCAAAAGTCCTCTCGCAATTTGATCTTCATCAAGAATTGAAAATTCGTTTTATTCTTACGACATTTGAATTTTTAAAAATAATGCCTTCAAATATCTCGCCTCGTACGTGACTGTCTGCTTCCCCTGAGGAATTGTCGACAGTTCATTGAACACGAATGGCTGTTCAATGACAGTGGGCACATCCCTCCCGTAAACCTCGCAGTGCTCTAGGAATTGTATGCACTCCTGGATGATGGAGTCTTTCAGGACGACTATTTGCTTCGCCAACTGCTCCAAAAGCGACAAGAAGCATCTCTTCGCGTAGAACCAGGTGTCTGTCCCCAACTTCTTGTTGTAAGGCTCCAGACTCTTCATCACCCTCGATATACCGAACTCGTAATTCCCTTTTGAACAGTACAAGGTCCCGATGACCATGTTGACGATGCACAAGTGGAACAGCTTCCTGTCTTGCTCTTCGAAGGCAACAGTTTCCTCCTCTTTTTCAATTTTTTTCATCAGTTCCTCTGCCTCGTTGTTCTTCGATGTCATGATGTAACTGACGCAGAGATTGGCTAGTACTATTGCACTTGTGTCTAGAATCTGAAGAAATTAATCAGAATTGTACGAGAATGCGAGAATAATTCCAGAGAAGAATCCAAAATTGGAAAGAAGTGATTTTTTTTCACATTTTGTTAAAGATGCGAATATTTAGATAACGAGTCATTCTACACGAAAATGCTACAAGACATTTTTTCTGGAAAATTGAATTTCTCAGAAAAAATGTTTTGTGACATTTTCTCGTTGAACCACTCGTTATCAAGAAAAAATTCGAAAATGTGACAGTTCAATTGACCTATTCAGCTAAATACTGATTTTTAAAAACTCACATTGGCGTATTTTTTCTTGATAACGAGTGGTTCAACGAGAAAATGTCATAAAACATTTTTTCTGAGAAATTCAATTTTCTACAAAAAAGTTTTATGTCATTTTCTCTCAAAACCACTCGTTCTCAAGATAAATTGAAAACTGTGAACGTTCAATTGACATGTTCAGCTGACTACTGATTTAAAAACTCACATTGTCATATTTCTTCTTGACAATAGGCTCATAAAATCCCGTGGCATCCTTGAACTTATTCTCCTGCATATACAACGTATGCGCGACATTGAGTCTCCAGACATCGTGATCATTGCAGAAGTCAGCGCTCATGCGGAATATCTTCTCGACTTGCACGTAGTTCTCCAGATCCCAATAGATTTTCGCCTGCGCCATTAGCACCGGCACATAACGCTCCAGTACCTCGTCAAAGTCGTTGACAGCTTTCTTGGTGGCATTCTCGTCGTGATTTAGTCTAGCCTCTTGAACCTGTTTCGTCGCTTTACGCAGGGCCTCACAATGCTTGTTAGCTAGGTCATCGAGTTTTCTGTAGGCTTCCTCTGGGGCGGTTTGCTGGGTTATCAGGGCATCCAGAAAATCGTACAGATACTGAGGATAGAATAGAAAAAATAAAGAAAAGATCGAATATAAATTTTATTCCGAAATTACGAGATGAGAGCTAAAATAGACCTTCGAAAATCATCGATATTTTCCGACCAAACGAAGTGATTTCAACGAGTCATGTCTCATTTCAAAGATCTAAAAAATACCTTCGAAATGAAAAAAAATCGTGCGATTTCACTCTGCCGATCTCGAGTTATCGGCGATTGAAGAGGTCATTTCAGTTCTTGGTCTTTAATTCTCAATTTCTGTGAATAAATACTCACAGGAGTCAAATATTTCCACGTCAAGTCAGCGTTCTCAGCAAGAACATCAGCGGCAAGATCATAATACTGATATTTACAGTATAATATCAATAAATTAGCGAATGTCTCCGGGGGAAATGGATTTTGCTGCAGTAAAAACTGTAGTTTCTCGAATCCTTCAGCTGGTTTCGTGTCCATATTTATGAGGGCCTGATTGTGGAGAGTAACGGCGTCCAGCTCTTCCTCGGAGCGCGGAGGCATGTCTGTTAGAGCTTCTCTGGCAGCGTCAACTGCAAATATCCAATCGTCGCGTGAATAAAACATCTCGACAGATAAAACTGATGACGGAAAAACGCTTACAATTCTGGAGTTGATACTCTATTGCAGCCTTTAAATTAAATGCTTCTGTGAGGGCGGTTTCGTGGAGAGTCAGAGTATTTCCCACACTTCGAACTTCAATTCCTTCTGTTGTCACTCCAACGCTTAGCTCCGGGTGTTCGCGTATTCCTTGCTCGATTATATCCGCTGGTTAAGGGGAGAACGCGTAATAAAAACGAGTGGACAATTGCATTCTTTAAATGTTTTCGAATGTTATCTCAATATTTTTTTTCATCTTTCGTCATCTGAAATTGTCAATTAAGTCCTGCATCATGCAGAAGTTTTGAAAAATGATGAATGAATAATCAAAAAAAAGTAGAAACAATTCTTAATTTTTTCAAAGAGCATTTTTAATTTATATTCAGAATAAGTTGAATAACAAGAAATTGAAAAATGTATCTGATTTACGGTAAGAAATGGCGGCCTGTCACCCAATATCATGCAGGGGGAAGACTGATTTTGTAAATCTTTTCCCACACTGCACAGAGACATTTATTACGGAAAAGGCTCTTTGAAAAAATTTGTAATATTTTGGAGAATTTTTTAATCGCACTTTTATCACATAAAACTGGCAGATGAATATAGACCACTGTTTTGAAAATTGAGATACCTAGCTGTCACTTCCCATGAGGAGTTAGTGTTTTGTTACCCACCATGGAAAATGACAGCTAATAGATAATTAGTCACAGCGAATCAGATATTTGTAATTTCCACTTTTTTCAACTCATTCTGAATCGCAATTAAAAACGCTCTTTGAAAAAGTTCAGAATTTTTTCTATTGTTTTTTATCATTCTATCATAATTTTTGGGAATTTCTACATGATGTACTCAATTGACAATTTTGGATTACGAACGATAAAAAAAATCCAGATAACATTCGAAAGATAGTACACCCGGGCCTTAAATGCTCATTTTAGTATTCTCTTCTTCTATTTTTTCATGTCACAGTACCATCATCACTTGAAATTTCATCAAAATTTTGCGTATTAGTTCGTTCTGTCAAATAATTCTACATCCAGACCCTCTCAAGACTCGAATTCGTCTTCAGTCCGGGTTTAATCGAGGTTCAAAAATGAGAGAATCTTTACCAATATGCTTCAGAGAAGCTGCATACTCCTTCAACTTGTAATAACAGAGAGCGACATTGTAAGACAAGTGAGGCTTGAACCCGGTTATCTGAAGGGCCCCCAGGAACTTCTTCAGAGCTTTCTCGTACTCCCCCTCTTTGTACATCAAACATCCGAGATTGACTTCTGTGTCCGCGTCGTCGGTGTTGCACTGGTCGATCAGACTCTTGACAGCGAGAATGTCTTCTTGTCCGTATTTAATAGCCGCCTGCAATTTCTTCACTTTGGACTCGAGTTTACTGCTGCTCGCGATACTCGCGCAGACGGTCCAGGCTTCCTGGTACATGCATGCTTGATGCAAAGACTGGGCGTACCAGAGTCGGTAGATGCTCTCGTCTGGGCAGAGCTGGATGAGCTTTTCGTAGCATTCGGCTGATGCCAGGAAGTCTTGGGTGTAGAAGTAGCAGTGGGCGAGGAGGGATAAACAGGGACGTGACTGCAAAATTATTATTCGTGAGGATAATTATTTCATTATTTTTCATTATAATGGGGTAAAGCATTAGGAAAAGCTGATAGGACAGAACAAAGGAAATTGTTTTTTTTTCATTCTATTAAAAATCAAATTATCTTGTCAAGAAGTGATTTTAAGAGAAATTGTCAGAAAACATTTTTTAAAGGAAATTTCTTTCTCTATACAAAAGATTTTATGACATTTTCTCGTAAAAACCCTCATTATCGAGATAATTCACTCTGAACAAAATATAAAAATTGATTTTTCGTTCATATTTTGCAACTTCTCACTTGATCAATTAAAAATCCATTTAAAATTTAATTCCCACTACTCTTAAAACTAAAATGTCATCATACTTCTGAATGTGTCACCAACAACTCCGACAGTATCTGCATACTCTCGGCATATTTCTGCTCCTTAATCTACAACAAAAGCCACCATCAACATTCAACTACCATTTCCACTCAATAAATCCCTAAATACCATTGTGTAAATTGTTTTCGTATATTCCCCATCTCTTATATGAACACTCTGCACGAAATTCGTCATTGTACCCCCCAAAACCTCTCGAATCCGATTGTTATCGTTATTATTGGTCAATAATCTGAAACAAACTCTCGTGTTTCTCTCCCGTTGTTTCAAATAATCGTCGCCCCTGAAAATTTTGTTTTGACAGAATGCTCGATTGGTTGTCATGGAAACCCCCTAGACTCTAGTTCCTTTCGCCCCCCCGACGGTGGTATTTAAATCACTAGCCAGAAGTTGGTCACGAAATAATTCGCTGAAGCTTATTTGCTCATCGGTCCACTCCGACCATCGGTGCCAGTCGCAGTTTATTAACAATAGTTTTTTGATATTATTGTCTTTATCCCATCATCAGCCACAAATGCAGAATCACAAGTTCAGTGCCATTTTTGTGAGCACAACGGAGAATTCGCCAGGAAATCGATGATCAATTGAGGACTTGACAAGCTCCAGTGGACTGAATCCCTCGGAATGAAGAGTGAATATTTCGCCAGATGCAGTCTCTGCTGCGTTAAACAATCACACGAGAGAATAATAGTTTTTTAGGGAGTGATAACACTGATGATAATTGGAGAGTAGCAGCTGTGAGGAGTTTTCAATTGAAGGAAGAGGGAAAATGTCAGTTGTCGATGAGTTCGATTACCTGTGCCGCTTGTGTGCAACCAAGACTGAAATACTCGTGGGATTACCGATATTCGAGCATGGAGAGAATCTCAGGAATATTGATAAGAAGATAACGGAGTGTCTGCCGATACAAGTGAGTGCATGTTATTATTAATGAGGGGAATAATTAAAATTCGGGATGAAAACAAACGTAAAAGATTTTTAGGATTTTGAGGGAGATAATAGAGGAAATTAACACACTGAGAAAAAAAAATTCTGATAAATAGAAATTCTATGATTGATCCAAATCGTTCATCGATTGAATAGTCGCAAAAGAAAATGCTATTGTAAGACACAAATATCGATTTAATTTTAATTTTTTCGATTAAAAAAGAATGAGATCAGTTATCTAGACTTTTTTTTTTTTGTTACTATCTACTTTTCAGTACATACAAATCAATGTGTCAGAGATAGGCATAATCATGAATTATCATTACCATTAATTTCATAAATACTCAATCAAGTAATAGAACTTAACAATTTTCAATTATTAAATTAATCAACAATTAAATATTTGAATTGCGAATTATTTCACCAGTCAATAATCGAATTCGGAAGAATGACGATTATTTGATATTTAAAAACTGATCAATAGTCAAAATTGGCTAATACCGTTTTACCACTTGGCTACCGAATTTTTGCCAGTGCCATCTAAAATTTATCAGGACATCGGCAATTTGTCGACAACTTGTCGAGATCATGTTTGGGTAAACCCTGGGTAAACCCTGAACTTTCAATCTCGGAATTTCCCAGAATTTCCCTGAACTGAAATTTCCCCCCGAAGAGCGCTCAAGACTAATGCCCCTGCCTTCCAGGTATCGATGACCGACGAGTTGCCAAAGGTGGTCTGCGAGGAGTGTGCCTACAAGCTGGACGACATAATCGACTTTCGGGAGAAGTGTCGTCAAACGGAGGACCTCTTCAACGAGATGTTAAAAGGGATAAAAAGCGACGTCGACATACGGGACAGCCTCCCAGACTGCGCTTCAGTGATTCCGGAAATTTCCCAGGACATCAGCCGACTCCACGACAGCATGGCCCCCATGGACACGACGATGACGCACCCAGGCATCCCCAGCATAGAGCCAGCCTGCCCCAGCCCAGAGACGAACACCCCAGGCGGCCTGCACACGATGCAGGTGATGGACGAGATGGATCTGGCTGGAGGTGAGCAGGTGGTGAGTCAAGAGGAAATTCCCCGGCAAGAGGAGCTCGAAATAACGGAGCTGGACCCCCTGGATGTGGAGACAGTGGGAATAGTGGGGGAGCACATCAGCCAGGAGGCAGTTGGAATAGTTGGAGACCAGATTTCGATGCACCTGGAGGGAGAAATGACTGTCGTCGAACACCTGGGGATCAACTACGTGACAGCAATTGGCTCAGACTCACCAAATCAGGAGCAGATAGTCCACTACTGCAACAACGTCAAGTACCAGGAGGTGAAGGAGAACTACATGGCTGAGAGGCTGACAGTTGGAGCTGACGTGACGAGTGATGGCTTCCCCCAGGAGGAGGCCCAGGGGCTGGCGAATAGAGTGACACCTGTGACCAATGAAAGTGGAGAGGTGGCAGGGACCAGTGGAGACCAGCTGAAGAATGGCATCCGAGAGTACACTAAACACAAGAAGCACAGTCTGCTGAGAACAACTCTCAACAATCCCACGATCGACGATACTGGAACGAGTTGGTACGTCTGTCCATTATGCAACGAAGCTGCCACTGAGGCCAACGATCTTGCTGAGCATTTCAAGCAGCATTTTTACTCCTGCAACTGTGGACTCTTGTTCACTCACGTTGACGACTTGAATGGCCACAAGGAGAGGGGCTGCAAGAAGAGGGTGAGGAGGGAGACGAGTGGCAAAATGGAGAGGGCGAAGGGGCCGGAGGAGGTGAGTGAGGTGTCCGCAGGGGACGAGGAGAGTGGCAGGAAGACGCAGAGCAGTGTCAGGCAGAAGTGGACGCCGAAGGTGTGCGCTCAGTGTGGAAAACAGTACAGAACGAATTACAAACTCCAGGAGCACATGAGGAAGCACACTGGGGAGAAGCCCTTTCAGTGTCTTCTGTGTGACAAGGCATTCAGGAGTAAAATTGGCCTTGCTCAACACACGGCCACTCACACGGGGCAGTTTGACTACAGCTGCTCGACGTGTGGCAAGGGCTTTCAGTGCAAGAGCTATCTCATTGTTCATCAGAGGGTCCACTCGGATCTCAAGCCCTATCCCTGCAGCACTTGTGGACAGAATTTTAAGACCAAACAGTCGTTGTTGGATCATCAGAATAGACATCTTGGGGTCAAGCCTTATGTCTGTGAAATTTGTGGGAGGGGATTCATCACTAAGGGACTCTGCAAGAGCCATCAGAGGATCCACTCGGGGACTGATAATCGACAGTATCCTTGTGAGGTGTGCAATAAAATGTTTGTTAGTAAGAGTTACCTCAATACTCATTTGAGAATTCACACTGGGGAAAAGCCTTATCTGTGCGAGGTTTGTGGGAAGGGCTTTCTCACGCGGGTGGATCTCAAAATTCACTCGACAATGCACACCGGGGAGAAGAGCTTCAAGTGCGAAGTTTGTAATAAGGTTTTTGCTAGGAGGGCTGCACTCAGGTGCCACAGACGATCGCATACGGGGGAGAGACCCTACAGGTGTGATGTGTGTGGCAAAACTTTTACACAGTTCAGTCCAATGGCTATTCACAAGAGACTTCACACTGGCGAGCGACCTTATGAGTGCGATGTTTGTGGGAAAGCGTTTGTGTCTAGGTCCACGATGATGACGCATAAGAAGAAACATCATTTGCCGGCTACGGGGGGGGATAAGGCCGCCAGTGGGGACATTAATGTCATCATCGTGCGGGAAACACCTGACGGCATTGCCATTGGCGATTGACTTGGTCAAAGTGATATTTTTTCGGTTGCATTTAAGCATCTTGACGGGAGTTTTAATTGACAGGATGGTAATCTGAATACTAATTTCGTTTTTTATGGGGTCATGTCGTAATGATTATCGTTTGTAAGGTCTTGATTTGTAAATTATTGAAACTTCGTGCATATTATTATTTTTAGTGTATTGGTACTTGTATTTTCAAGTATTATTCCGTAATAAAACACATCTCATGAATTTGGTTGATTGTTTCAGTCTTGAAGAAAAATTAGAAAGTTTATATTTGAAGGAAGATTAATGAAATAATTTAGGAATTTGATTTTTTGAAAATTATGAGCAGTTTCTGTAAATAATTTATAAACTATCAATTTTACACTATAAAAAGGATTTTTTCGGAACCGTAACAATTTATTTGTATTCAATTATATTCAGAATTTTACCAGAAAACGATTTCATGTCTAAAAAATGAAATTTCCAAAAGTTTGAAGAATTTCAATTATTTATTTGTAAACAAAGAATGTTCAAGAAGAATAATTCTGCGCAAAAAATCAGAACAAAATGTTGAACCGTTAGAAAACGTTTTAAAAATTTGGAAAAAAAAATTACAAGGTTTACATTTGAAAAAAGATTGTTGAAATAATTTAAGAATTGCAATTTGTGAAAATTACGAGTCTTTTCTATAAATAACTTATAAACTATCAATTTTTCACGATAAAAATAATTTGTTCAGAATTGTAAAAAATCTATTTATATTCAGAATTTTACCAGAAATCAATTTCATGTCTAAAAAAATTGAATTTCCGAAAGTTTAAACAATTTTAATTATTTATTTATAAACAACGAATCTTTAAAAAAATGATAATTCTGTGCAAAATGTAATTTTAATGACGCTGACTCTTTATGATTTAAAAAAAAAATTTCTCACGCAATTAACTTGACAAATTAAATGATTGAAAATGGTTGAACCTACAGTGTGGCCTGTACCAGCAACAAAAGATACTCGGATATCCTTAAGGAGTGATGATTCAACAATAAAAACACATCTGATGAATTTTACTCATTCGTTTATTATCGATGATTGAACAGTAAAAAGGAATGATAGTAGAATGAATAAATTGAAACATATTTTCGGGTTTTCAAGTATTATTGTTCGTACTGAAAAAAAAACAATGGATTATTATCGCGTATGAATGAAATTCTCAATCATTACAACTCACAATTGACGGAAATACACATTTCTCTCGTTATCTCTCGGAGAAACATATCACCCTTTGACTCAGCAAGGCATCAATGACAATCATAAACATCTATTCCACTTTGCGATGAATTTCTAGGGGCTGGGGGCCCCTGAAGTGATCAACGAAATTTCATAAATTTTCATCAATAACTTCAAATGTCAAATGACTTTGAGAATACACTGTAAAATCGTGAGAATAAGTTTAATGTCGAAATAATAGTCATAACAAAGTACAAAAATCGTCCATCACAGACATAAAATATTACTTTTGCCTTAAAATCTTGGATTTACGGAGCATTAACCCCTCGAACTGAATTTATCATCCAAACCAATGGCTCAGGGGCCCCTAATTCAATCAATCCTAATTTCTCATACGAATGAACGTCATCTTACAAATAGAAAGCACCAAGAACTTTGACATTATATTAATTTTATCCCAAATTTTGTGCTAAAATCGTATATCAACATCATTATTTCGTCATCTATGTAAATACATCAATTTTTACAAAGCCATTCTCCTAAAAAGCCTACTAGAAATATTTGTCAATCCTAGAGACTACTGAATTATCCCCCAAATGTCATTGTACTCTAAATAGTTTATTTACAGATGAATTATCAATTTTCCTAGTGAATAATACGCGAGTTGAAGAATTCATTGACGCAATTACGAGGGAAATATCTCACTAATTTATGTACATTAAATCTCCACATACATATACAAAATAAATTTCAATAAATTCTTAACGTAATTTGATATCGAGCCAGTGAAATTAATGTAAACAATAATTTTTTTGTCCGTAATCTAGTTCATTACTCATTGCCACTAACAATTGCCACCCTTGATCCCAAATAATGATCCTTAATCTATCGTTATTTATAATTAATAGTGTTAAAACTTATCAATAGTCACAGCAATTTGACGATACACCGGTGGATACGAGAATAACTATTTCACGTGAAAGGAAAAAAAAAATTTGTGCAACAGCTGAGTGAACGAATAATGGCGAAAGTAAAATGAAAATTCGGTGAATGAACGAAAGTCTAGTGGCAACTCCCATATCAAAATATCATTTAAACAATTTTGGCATTCACATATTTTTATATCAGTGTCTTTTAAACTCTTCAGCCTTTGATTTATTTCCACTACGTGTCATGTTTCGTACCGTTTCGACAATTCGAATCGTTATAATTACAATTTGCAACAATAAACCTCATGCTCTGAAGTATTTCTCAACATTTCGCCCTGTTGATGTTCGAGCAATGGCGTTCACATGAGTGATGCAACGCCACTGGCATTTGCCATCGAACAATTAATTGAACATAAAATCCCGAAACATCCTGAGTATTAATCTCACGCATTTCGAGATTAATTGAACGAACGAGGAATTGAATGACTCATTTTACCCCGGGGTAGGATGAATCGTTCAGTCTCGTTGAGGGCAGTAGGTGGGTAAAGTCAACTAAAAGTGTGAATAACATTTGATGAATGGGAATTTGCAGTGCTACTTCACAGCTAGTGTCTGCTTGAGATGCCGCATGAGGTGGCTTCCGACGTCGTGCACCTCGGGCCACTGTTGCAGGACGAATATGATGCTCAGTACGACAATTGTTGTCGTCAATATGCGCACCCTGCACATGAAACAATGAGGCTTAGTACAGCTGAAACAAAATCCGGATGTGATGAGTGAAATGTTGAAGTGAATTTCTGGGTACAGAGACGCTTGAGCGATGATTAGACCATCTCTGCGGTTAGTTTTTCCTCCGTTCTCTCGATTGTTAGTATGATGAATTAAAACGAGTGGGAAATTGCTTTTATATCAATATATAGACTGGTTGATTCGATAATTTTAATGACAGTGAATCGATTGTAACCTTTTTTTATTTTTACACGAGTTTGTAGCAGCGATGTCAGACAAGATATGAATGTTTTTTTTGGCTCAAATGAAAGAGCGGCTCGAAAAATGGCGTGC